ATGGATGGATGGATGGATGGATGGATGGATGGATGGATGGATGGATGGATGGATGGATGGATGGATGGATGGATGGATGGATGGATGGATGGATGGATAAAATAAATGCTGCTACTTTGTGGACTTTCACCTATTTCACCTATACCTAGGGGTATCTGGAGCGTAACCACCACAATAGGTGAGGGATCTCTGTATTGGGTGTTCAGTTATTTGGAAGGGATGATTGGAATGAATGGTGTTGTTTTTTAGACTTTTGTGCAAAGCATGGGCTGTTTATAGCAAACATCATGTTCGAGCATAGGGTGGTCCATAAGTGTACTTGGTACCAAACCACGTTGGGCCATTGGTCAACGATCAATTTTGTAATTGTGTCATCAAATCTGTGACACCATGTTTTGGACACTGGGGTGAAGAGAGTGCCAGGGCAGTCAACTGATCACCACCTGGTGGTCAGTTGAATCCAGTGGCAGGGAAGGCTGACGGACAGACCCGGTGAACCCAAATGCATAGTGAAGATGAACTGGGAATGTCTGATGGAGCCCCATGTGAGGGAAGGATGAGCATGAGATTGACAGGCAGATTGGTGCAGCGTCTACAGTATTGTGGACTCTGTGCTGGTCAGTCGTGGTGAAGAGGGAGCTGAGCTGTAAGGCAAAGCTCTCTGTTTACTGGTCAATCTACGTTCCTACACTCACTTATGGCCAGGAATTCTGGGTAGTGACCTAAAGAATGAGATCATGGATGCAGGTGGTTGAAATGAGTTTCCTCTGCAGGGTAGCTGGACTCTCCCTTAGAGATAGAGTGAGAAGTTCAGTGATCAGGAGAGACTTGGTGCAGAACGGCTGCTCCTCCACATCGAAAGGAGCCAGTAGAGGTGGTTTGGGCATCTGGTAATGATGCTTCCTGGGCGCCTCCCTCGCAAGGTTGTTCGGGCATGTCTGTCTGGGAGGAGACCCCAGGGAAGACCCAGGACATGCTGAAGAGACTATGTCTCGCTTGACCTGGGAACGCCCTGGTGTCCTCCCAGAAGAGCAGGAAGAGGTGGCTGTGGAAAGAGGTGTCTGGACCTCTGCTGGCCTAGAGACACAACTTCAGAATAAGTGGAAGATAATGGATGGACGGACGGGCAGATGGACGGACTGGGTCAAAACCTATATATTGCTATTTTGGGGTGTACCTGGGACTTTGAGCACACAATTTCATTCCACCTCATGTACCGCATGTTATGCTAACGACAATAAAGTCTCTTTGGTGCTTGAACCTTGAAGACCTCTATTGTTGCAACTGACAATAAAACCATAATAAAAAACTTCATAAGCTGAGAGCCCTGAGCTGTTAAGTGGTTTTGCACCACGGTATTTTCAAATAGTGTACTTTGTATTATTTAAGCAGGTGTGTCCCTTTAAGATTACACATTTTCTTTTTTAAGGGGGCCCTTGGCCCGAGGCAGCAGAATGCAAGGCCTGCTAATAGAAAATACTCCCAGTGAACAGTTTCATTTTTTTCAGCGTTCAGTAATGTTTGTGGAACTATTGTTTCTTTGTGTCAGCAAAATTGTCAAGATTCCTAATGAAAAACTGGTTTTACAAAAAAATAAAAATAAACTGTATTAAAATGGAAGTTTGTTCTGTCTGAAACAAAGAAAAAAAATAATTTTAGCAAAATTGTTCCCTGAACATTTTTTTCTCTTTAGACACAAGTCAAACAATCGTACGTAAAATAAATCAGGAATTCCAAAGTGCCTTTTCAAGCTCTCTGGAACCATCATCAGTTTATTGAGCAGTCTCTAAAGCCAACTCATCAGGTCCTGCCTCCAGGATTCTCCAAACAGAGAGAGAGAGAAAGATAAATCAGCTCAAGGACCGTTTCAGATACACATCTGGCAAACCTCTGCAGAGTTCCACCCTCTTTCCTTTTTCATGATGCAAACTCTTGTAGAAGCTGAACTTTGTTTTCCACATCTACTCAATGCATCCTGCAGGAAGACCGTGCGTCCTCGCTCAGTTTCCATGCTCAATTACTTTACTCTCTCCTCCATCTCTCTGCTCACTGTGACTCTTAACATGCTGGTTATCATCTCCATCTCACACTTCAAGTAATTAAATGTTGTATTTAGTAAAAAAGGAAAATGTTTCTGAAAATTGTTGAGTTTTATAATCATATTTGCTTAATTCTCAGCTATCAGATCAACTGATGGTAAGTTTTGTTGTTTTCTCATCTCTCCAGGAAGCTCCACAGCCCCACCAATGTTCTCCTCCTCTCTCTGGCGGTCTCAGATTGCATGGTGGGCTTCCTCATTGCTCTTCAAATCATGCTCATAGACGACTGCTGGTATCTTGGTGACCTCATGTGTGTCCTGTACCTTGTTTTTGACTATGTTGTTTCTTCTGCCTCAATAGGAACGATGGTTCTAATTTCTTTTGACCGCTATGTGGCCATTTGTTACCCTCTTTATTATTCTAGAAAAGTTACAACGGAAAGAGCAAAGATATGCGTTGTGCTGTGTTGGACATGTTCTCTTCTTTATCAGTGTCTTCTCCTGAAGGACAACCTGTATCAGCCCGGCAGGTATAATTCCTGCACTGGAGAGTGTTTGGTTGTTATTGATACCAATGGAGGGATTCTTGATCTTTTGTTTTCCTTCATCGGTCCTGTCACTGTCATCGTAGTTTTGTATCTGAGAGTGTTTATGGTGGCTGCGTCTCAAGCTCGTGCCATGCGCTCTCGTGTTGTAGCCGTCTCATTTCAGGGTTCGGTGAGAGTAACGGCTAAAAAGTCTGAAATGAAGGCAGCGATGGTTCTTGGGGTAGTTGTGGTCGTGTTTCTTACATGTACCTGTCCGTATTTCTGCGTGACAGTTGTGGCCCAGGATGCTGGAGTGAACGCTTCCTCTGTAACCTTCCTTTTGTTTTACTGTAACTCCACTCTAAACCCTTCTATCTACGCTCTGCTTTACCCCTGGTTTAAGAAATCTGTGAAAATAATTGTTACGCTACAGATACTGAAGCCTGGGTCCTGTCGCGCCAACGTGTTGTGAAGAGACGTGAGCCACTGAAGTGAATAAAAATGTATGAAAAACACCCAGATTATTTCTTCTGTTACAATTCTTACTGTAACAAAATAAAATCATCCAGTTTTCAGCAACAACACAGTTGCAATAGTTCATTTGTTGGAAAAGAAAAATATTTGACCCACGTCAAAAAAAATGATATTTACAAATCAGCTTCACCACAATGTGAAGCTGATATTTAGTGTATATTTAAAATACAGGAAATTAGTACTGGCAGCACGGTGGCGCAACTGGTAGAGCTGCTGCCTCTCAGCGAGCAGGTCCCTGGTTCAAACCCCGGTCCAGGGGCCTTTCTGGGTGGAGTTTGCATGTTCTCTCCGTGCATGCGTGGGTTTTCTCCGTGTACTCCAGTTTCCTCCCACAGACCAAAAACATGCATGTTAGGCTGATTGGTAACTCTAAATTGTCCCTAGGTGAGAGTGAGAGAGTGAATGGTTGTTTGTCTCGTTTGTCTCTATGTGTCCCTGTGATGGACTGGAGACCCGTCCAGGGTGTACCCCGCCCCTCGCACAGTGATTGCTGGACATGGGCACCAGTGACCCCCGTGACCCAAAAATGGAATAAACGGGTAAAGATAATGGATGGATGGATGGAAATTAGTACTTGTTTCTCATTGCATCTTTGTTTGAAACAGTACCAAAGTCATATACATTTTGGGTAGTGATTTTTATTAAAAGAAAAGGTTCCTGTGTTTTTTCTGAAGAAACTGGTTAAGTTAAACACCAAGCATTCCTGAATAAATGCATTTTGCCCGCTGCCTTTCTTGCCAGGGTTTCAGAATAGGAAAGATGATTAGTTGTAGATGTACATTCAATGATTACAGTCTGAGTTTTTTGTTTTTTAAGCTGTTTAGTGGTTTAAGAGCTGTATCCCTGACAGACAACTGAATCCTGCAGTTAATGCAAACAATTTAAACAAAGATCTCAGATAATCACAACCTCATCTGGAGTAGAAACAAAAGCATATGTGTCATCGGCATATAAATGAATGGAGGCCGCACTAACATAATGTAAGATATCATACATAAATAAGGAGAAAAGAGTTGCACCAAGAATGGAGCCTTGGGGTGCATCTGACATAATGAAAGAAACTCTGATGTATCTTAATAGTATATACAGTGATGTGCATGAGTTTAAATAATACCATACCAAATTTTAGCTCAATTTCTGTAAAATGGCTATGACTATTTTAGTGTTTGCTAAAATTTAACAGCTGTGACAGCCATCTTATATAGACTCTCAAAGTTTATCACTTATACATTAGTATGTAATAATTATGTTCTGAGTTTCATTAAAATCTGTTGAGCAGTTCATGAGATAATTTGATGAATGCACACTTGCATCCACTGACACAGACAATAACATTATTGCCACTTTTCCCTGTAGATCAGTACAGATCTTACATTACTGCAACCATTCTTACTGACATGTTTTAAAAAGCTGTTTAAAAAATTGCTTCTTTTTTTTTACATTATTTAAAGTTACACTAATCAGCCACTTTATTAGGTGCAATGTTTCAGTTACTTGTTAAAACATAAAGCTTATCAGCCAATCACAAGGCAGCAACTCAGTGTCTTCAGGCCTTTAGACGTGATGAACAAAGCTTGCTGAAGTTAAACCCAGGCATCAGGAGAAAGGGAAGTGATTGTGTTGTGTCCTGATGCATCCTCAATATTTCAGGTAGAAAAATATAGCAAAGTTAAAAAATACCACCTGTGTTTTTTATTCAACATTTATTTCTACAGGTTAATCCCATTGAGCCTCAGGGACTCATTTACAAGAGAGACCTGATTTCAACAAAGAACGATGACAACAATGGACAATCATAAAAGATGTGTACAAATATATACATACATATATACATATATATATATATATATATATATATTATTATTATTGGTTTTTTTTTTTATCAAGTTCAAATAAAATGTCAACCACAAGCACAATCAAAAGGAAATGTAGTAAAAAACACAGATTATAAGGCCATGTGGAAAACTAAAAACAGGAACATGTCTGCTTGGTTTTTGCCGGAACTTAACATGTTAACGGTCCCACCCAAGAGCGTGGACATACACTGAACCTTGTTTTAACTCATGATGTGACTGTTAATAATCTTGTTATTAGTGATAATGTTTTTTCAGACCACATGCCAGTCCAGTTTGAGTTCACCCTCCCCCATCTAACTCCTAAGCCGTGCGCTCCTGCACGTAGTAGCCGGGTCATTAACCACTTCACTGCCGCACGCTTCACAGATGTTTATAACTCTGAAATGATCATTCAGCCCCCAGTGTTTCTCTCCACCACCGAGGAGCTGACATCCCAGTTCAACTCTGTCTGCTTAAAGACTCTGGATCATGTTGCGCCTGTTAAAATTAGAAAATCAAAACTGAGAGCAGAACCTTGGCTGAGTGACGTCACCAAGGCCATTAGGCAGCAATGTAGGAGGGTGGAGCGAAAGTGGAGGAAAGACAGGCTGCAGGTCTCTTTCCAGATACTTAAAGAGAGTTGGCGCTGTTATCAGAAAACAGTAAAAGCTGCTAAATCCAAATACTTCTCTGATATAATTACCTCAAACTCTCACAACCCACGTGTCCTCTTCTCCACCCTAAACTCTGTTCTCCACCTCACTGAACCATCACCTCTGGAAGCCTCGACTGAGCTGTGCGACAACTTCTTACATTTCTTTGTGGAAAAAATTGCGACCACCAGGGCTCTCATTTCCCCTCCAACTCATGACCCATCCATCCCACCTCAATCTGTAGCTCCTTTTGACCATTTTGAACCCATCACTCTATCTTCTCTAGAGCAGGTCATGTGCAACTTGAAACCTTCTGGCTCCCCCTTTGATGTGGTCCCCTCTCGACTACTAAAGGAGGTGTTTCCAACTCTAGGTCCGTCCATTCTTGATATAGTAAACAGTAGTTTATCCACTGGTGTGGTGCCAAAATCATTTAAACATGTTGCTGTCCAACCTCTCCTAAAAAAGAAAAAACCTTGACCCCTCACTCGTTTCCAACTACCGGCCTGTCTCCAAACTTCCATTTGTTTCTAAAGTACTGGAGAAAACAGTCGAGTCCCAGTTGAAGTGCTTCCTGGAGGATCACGCCATCTTAGAGCTTTTCCAATCTGGCTTTAAACCTCTCCATAGCACTGAAACTGCCCTGCTGAAGGTCTTTAACGACATCTTCAGATTCACAGATACCGGTGATTCTGTGTTGCTTGTCCTGTTGGACCTCACAGCCGCCTTTGACACCATCGACCATGAGATCCTCATTGCTAGGTTGGAGCAGTGGGTGGGCGTCACAGGATCAGCCCTCAATTGGTTCAGATCGTACCTTGCTGACAGATCCTTTTGTGTCTCCATCAAGGATTTTAGTTCTGCAGTGACAGAGCTTAAATGGGGAGTTCCGCAGGGGTCCATCCTGGGTCCCCTCCTATTCTCTTTATACCTGCTGCCGCTTGGTGCTATTTTCCGGAAACACAACATGCCCTTCCACTTCTATGCCGATGACTGTCAAATTTACTTCCCCCTAAGACACAATGGTACATGCTCTATTCAACCGCTGCTCCACTGCCTGGCTGACATCAGGGACTGGATGGCTTTAAACTTCTTAAGTTTCAATGAAAAGAAGTCTGAAGTCATGTTGTTCCCTCCCAACGACACGATCACAAACCACTGCATCAACCTTTCCGCTCTAACCCTGTCAGAAAAACAAAGAGTCACTAATCTGGGCGTGATAATGGACCCTTCCCTGAAACTTAACAATCATGTAAACATGATTGTTAAATCATGCTTCTTCCAACTGAGGCGACTGTCTAAACTGAAGCCCATATTGTCCAAAAAGAACCTGGAGACAGTAATACATGCATTCATTACATCTAGGCTTGATTACTGCAATTCACTCCTGTTTGGTATCAGTCAGACCTCCATTGCACGACTACAACTGGTCCAGAATGCAGCAGCCCCATTTTTAACCAGTACAGGCAAAATAGAGCACATTACACCAGTTCTGGCCTCACTGCACTGGTTACCGGTTCACCTTCGAATCCAGTTCAAAATACTCAT